CATGTAGTGGACGGTGGTTCGAGTCTCATACCCAGTGGCTTAAACTCACACGGGGCGCAATGTGCATGTGTGCCCAAGTTCCCAAGAGGAGAATGGAGAAGGGATTGTGGCATGGCCATCCCCCTTGGGGGGTAATTTCTCACTTTCTGTCTCTCTTTCTGGTGAGCGTACATGCCCCTATAGCAAAAACCTCTCAAAACAAAACAAAACAAAACAAAACTTTAATTTACTAATGAATAGAAGGTTTCTCCCCCACTTCAATATTATATGAGTGGGATAAAACAACATTTATAAATGTATTTCTAGCAATCCATAAATTCAAGGACTATCAAATATAGTCCATGACCAAATATAATCTATGATTAAAAGCAAACTCAAAAAATTATTTTGTATATGTAATGATACAGTGATGGAATGTAAAATAAACATAAATTTTTTAAAAAAACAGCCATTTTAAGGAAACTTTTCTAAAGTCATTCTTCTCGCACATATATTTTAAAATTAAAACTTGTATTAATTTTCAGAGAGAAATGTTTCAGATGCCTATATGAAAAGCTGGGGTCTTTTTAAAGAATTTCTTTTAATTTCAGTTTATTTACTTACTTATTTTATTTTGACCAGAGAATGGAGGGGGGGCAAATTTCCAGGTCCAGGACTCAAACTGTGGTGGGCTATGTGAGAGTCCAGGGCCTTTAACCACCATACCACCTAGCAGCCCCAAGTGAAACTGAGTTTTCAAGAAAAGCAGCTATGTAATTTTTTTTGGTTTTTAGACCCAGTAATTCTTCAGGAAAGTTGATCTCAGTTTCCATGACTTAAACAAAATTTTGCCTTTACTCCAATCTAAACATGGTAGAGTGCAGTTAACACTAGCTAGACCCCTAAAAATAAGACAAGTGACAATCAGTGTTTTTAGATAATTTATCCTGCCACCATTTTTCATTCTGACTTGAGAAAAATCTGTAAGCAAAAATTAGGATCCTAGGGGCTGGTAGGTGGAGTGGTGGTTGAGGTGTTGGCCCACATGGCTGACTGCAGTTCAAGTCCCAGACCTGGTGGCTTGCCTTTTCACTTTCCCTTTCTCTCTCTCTCTTTGGTCAAATTAAAAATATAAATAACAAATAAAATAAATGAATTTTTGTTTTATAAAAAGTCTAAATCCTACCTATAATTATCAATGTCTTCTGACACACAGGCATGAAGAAACAGTTAAAATAGTCAGTAGTGGTACCCTGAGAACCCAGCTAACAGGGTGCCCAGAAACCTACAGCAGGGATACTCAGTGATACCTTACTCCTTCTGCAGACATAGTAGCATGAAACGAGGAGTCAAGAGGCTTGCATTCTAGTTCCAAGTCTGCCACTAATCAGCAATGTGTCAGTCACTTCCCCACTTTAAGCGTAGGTTTCACTTTCAGTTAAATGTGAGGACATGAGCTAAATGATCTCCAGTCCCTTTCTACTTTAGTATGTGTAGATATAAACCACACAAGTTAGCAAGGACATTTGTCTCAGTATATAATTTATCTAGTAAATACTAAACTTCAAATCTATGGGTCTTCAGCATGTGTCAAACACATAAATTTGTTAAACTGAAAAGTTTAAAAAAACATGGAAAGATTTCCAAAGAACAAAAGCTTAACAACAAAAGCACACTATTAGACTTCAATAAAATAGGCATTTAGAGTTGGAAGGGTTCTCAAGAGTGTATAATCTCTTCGATTTAAAGATGAGGAAATGAAGTGACTCACAGTCCAGGGCTGTTTTCTACTATACCACAGTTCCTCCTCCCTTTCCTGCTCTATCAATAGACAGCATGGTGAAAAAACAAACACTAAAATGTTAAACTGATCCAGGTTCTAGGTCCTATCTTTGCCATTAATTTGCTGTGGGACCTTGGACAAGTCACTACTTTCCCTCTTTGGACTTCAGTTTTCACATTTCATATGAAGGAGTTTAACTAGATATCTCTTCTAGTTACAAGCTGTGATCTTATAAAAGTCCTATCTGACAAAACAAAAACACATTCGAGAAAGTGGGAATTTCTAGATAAGAGAACAGAAAAGTTTGGGCTGTTGGTTTTCAACAGTCCATCAGCTCAATTCAGCAAGTTAGTTCTAAAGCATTTTATACTCCAGAATCTACTGGGGGGAGGATATCTCCTCACTCTCTCCTCCACACACAGTAGTGAGCAAGCTATTATGTACTTGGAAAAAAAAAAAAAAAAACACTAAACCAGGAGCCTAAAGAGCTGGTTTCAAACTTCAGCTCTGCTATTTCCAAGCCGTGTTTCCTAGGACAATTTATAATCCCTGTGAGCCTAAGGTTCACCAAAAATGTAGATAATAAAAAACTGACCTAAAATATCAGTCAAAATAAAGCATTATAAATGTCATATATATTGCAAAGTTATGCAAGTGGAACTGATCTGCTAACTATGGAAAATGTAGGCTGTATTGGAATAAAAAATATTCTGTAAAAATCTGGACTAATTTTTAACTTATAAAATTTGCTTTCAACAATAGATTAGCAAAGCTGAAGACATCACTGGAAGGGAAATGCAAGAAATAAATCAGTTTTGTATTTGGATTTTGCTGATTAAGAAAACATGATTAACTCTCAATTGTCTACTCAAGTTTACAATTTGGTGAAATGGCCTGTGTACTCCCAAACACACAACAGCAAGGAATATTCCTTAAAGTGTCCAACTTTGATCTACTGGGTCCCTGGAAAAGCCCCGATACATTTTTGCTTTTCCGATGACCCATTATTAACCCCTTAAGAGTTTGTATGTGTGCCACTACATATCAAGGGACAGAAAATATTTCTGATAGCTAATATCTAGAGAAACCATCTGTCTCCACAAATCAAGGATTTCTCACTGCATTTACAGGTTGTTGGTAGCCCAGTCAAGTCTGTACAAATTACCTTATGCAAATGACAAAACCTGCCACAAGGGATAGAGGAAAAATGTAAATGATGCCTACCTTTTTCTGTTCTCTCCGTACTGCTAGGTCTTTTTAGATGTAATTCTTCAGATGAGTCTATTCTCTTCCAAATACTCTCACTAACAAAGCACCAAGCTGTGAAGTTCACCAACAGACCCTCCAGTTTTATCCTTAGAGCTCAACTAGCTCAGTACTTGGGCAGGATACAGTTACAATGAGAAAGCTGGGTCCCCAAAAGACTTTTCTTGGGAAGCTACATTTTCCCATAGGGGAAGAGCGATCAATTTTATCAAAATGACTCACCCAGTTTAGATAAGCAAAATAGCTCCAAGTTTTGTATACTCCTTCCTAAAGTAAGCACTGTGAAAAGTTTAAAAATTTGCTTTTGCCAAGAAAGGAAAGAGAAGGAAGTGAACATTTGAACACTTTGTGCCAGGTACTAAACTAGACAGTTTGCAAAGTCTTAATGTAACTTAACTGTCCTTTGAAATCAAACTTGTTTTATTCTATGAAAAGGAACAATAGTCACATAGCTGTAAATTGGTAATCGTGTGAACTGATTATCTCCCTCCCTCGCTCCAATACACACACATAAAAGTACTAAAGAATTTGGTTTTTTAACCTGAACTGACAGTTCATTACTTCGAAGGGAAAAACCAAACCAAACATTAAGAAATTAATTTGAAGGGAATCCAATATACTTGTAAATTCAAATTGTTTTCTACCCTATACTCTATAGATACGAAATTGTCTCAAATACTGAGCTTGTAGGAAACTCAGTGCCATTTCAAGACTGGTCACTGTCACAATTCCACAATAATGATATAAAGGTTGGTAGAAACACACACACCTGCAATCTACCATTTTACGTTTCTTTCTGACTTTGTTGCTTTTACTTTTCTGGTATATACTGTGTATAATGTATACATCAGGTTTTATAATGACTTCTAAAATGTATAGATAACTGTATTCCCATCAAACAGGGTATATCTTCTCCGAGGTAAGCAGAAGTGAAGGTAGTTGAACTCCCAAAACTGTGTCAACACTTTACACAACTAACATGTATATTCTGCCAACTCTCAAGTTCTTACAGCATGAAAATACATTTCACTGTCTGTAGCTGCACACACAACCATAGAAGAGTTCAGTGAAATCGTTTTAAGCATTATTCCCACTTTGAACAGTGAGGGAGTGGGTAATAAATAAGGGAAGTCCTAGTCAAAAGTAGCATTCCAACTACTATACTTCCTACTCAGAATCACCCATATTAATCAGCAATAAAACATCTTGCAGAATTAGATAAAGAGCACAAAGCTGGGGCTCTCCTTCCAACCACCAGATTACTCAGCACTTGTTTGTGTGTCTGTAGTCGGCTGTGTACGTTTCTGCCCGGCTACCTTTCTAGACCGCATTGTCCCTAATGGTAAGGACTTGTCCTTCGACTTCCTTTGCCTCACGGTAAGGTGCTATTTTAATAATACACCGATGATTGATCTAGAGTTCATCAGCTAGAGGACTTTCTTAAGTAAACACACAACCTTTCCCTCGCTCCTTTTCATTCTGCGCAGGAAAAAAAAAAAAAAAATAGGACGGCAGACAGGGGAGAGTTACAACCACCTCTGAAACGAGTAGGTAAGTTAGCGGTAAAAAGACAAAACCTGCAAGTTCAATTTCTCCTGTTAACTGCTCCCTTAATCTAAGGTCCTCGAGGCCAAAACGGGTGTTCGAAAGATAAACTGTGCACCCCACAAATACTAATCCGCTCTCAAACACGTCAGCTGTCCCATCCCGCAGAGCCTGAAGAAGCCAAGAAAGGGGCTCCTAGAGAGAGCCTTTGGGGCTGTTCACCAGAGAAGGGGGTGAAGGTGTCTAGGGTGGGCGATTCCCCCTCCTCCAACTCACCCGGTCCTAACAAGCGCCCCACGTCTGGGTTCTCAAGTGCTGGAGAGAGGAACAGCGGTGCGGGACACAGTGGGACCACGGAGGGGTGGAGGGGGGAGCCACGGAAGCAGCCAGGAGACTGGGATGCCGCTTCTGGGCCACAGCTACTTCCCCTACGGGGTAGCCGCCCCCTAGGTGTACATCTTCAGGGGCATCATAGAATTCCTCCGTGTCGCTTTCCGACGCCATTTATAGGACACACCCGCGGCTGAGGGGGCCGGCGCCGCCTGAAGGGTGACTCTTGTCTCCTCCTCGTCGTCCTCCACCCCGGCGAAACTGGGGGGGGGGGGGGTCCGGCGGTGGGTCCAGTGTGGGTCGCTGCCGCCGCGCCCGCCGCGCCCAGCGATAGGTGTATAAGGAGAGCCGGAGAAGAGGCGGTGGCTCTTCTCAGTGGGGGAGGGCGGGCGCGCCGGCGACACCAGCTCCAATTTCTCCTGCAGCAGCAATTACAGCAGCTGGGAGAGCTAGTTGCCCGCAAAAGAGCGACGCGCACCTACCGTCGCGAGATTTCGGGAGGGAACGGTAGAGCGTGGGCGGAGCGAAGAGGTGGCGAAGGCGGTTCCAGAGAGGCAGCGCTCTGATTACTTCTACCGGAGAAGCCTATCAAAATGGCGCAAGCGCGTTGAGGGCGTTCAGTAGGGGCCGGAAGTAGCCAAGAAGGGAGGGGGTGTGTCTCCTAAAGGGAGGAGTCTAGGGCCTGCGCAGGAGCAGCGCGGTGCCCAAGCTCTGAGGGCGCCCGCCTGCCTGGCCAAGGTGGGGTCGGGCCGAACGTCTTACCCGGAAACTCCGCAGTTTCGAAAAACTGAATTTTGTGAAGAACACTTTCGAGGCTGCGTTTATTCTTGTGAGGAAATGCTGTCGGGAAACGTTGGTGTGTGCATTTTGGTTTATATTAACGTCTACTATGGCAAGCCCAGAATATTTCACCCTAGGCTTCGGCGGCTCCACCACCTCTAGCTTCACAGAATAAACCGTCCCGTCTACTCCAAGATCCCCTCGTTGAAATTACTAGATACGATCCTGCCGCCCAGAGAGTGGGGGCTGTGAGAGATGGGCGAGGAGTATACCAGTTCCGTGCAGTGATGAATTTATTGCTGGAACTGAGCCAGTATAAGGCCTCCCGTTACTTTTTCTCCACACACTGCCCGCTCTTAATGCGAGAGAAATTCTTACATACTGCCCAAGATGTGCCTCAACCAAGGGGTAAATATATAGGAGGAGATACTGTTGAAAGACTAAAAGCTAGTAACTTCATTCTGATCCTCAACTTTCCAATGTCCAGTGATGAAAATAGAAAGATACTTTTGAAAAGAAATCAAGATGTTTGCTCAGCAGACAGGGAATGTGAGAAATCACACAGCCCCTTCCCACTCCCCTCATTCCCCCTACACCCACACGCCTCCATGCCCCCACTCCTTCCACCACCCTGGGAATGACCATGCTGCAATCCTTTCTCTGTTCTCCTAGATTTTGTACAGGTGCCAGGTGCAGGTTCCAAGCTGGGTCCAGGACTGGAACTAGAAGTTGGTCATGTGGCATCTAGCCACCTTTACCACCAGTCTGCCTGGCCAGCCTGAGACATTCTTTCTTAAACATAGTTATTGACCACAGTGATGACACTAACTTTTAATATGAGCACAAAACACATGTATGTCTCCCGTTGATACTGTGATAGGCAGACTCTTTGAGCTGTTTGTGCAGCCTCAACTATTATTTAAAATGGCAACAGAAAGCACTGAGTTGTAGCCAGAGACATGACCTCAGAGAGTCTGCTATGGAACTCTAGATCTCATGTAAAGCAACCCAAACAATGTATGGCGTGGTCTGGTGGACTTATGTAAAACCAGCTGCCCCTATACTGTTTATACTGTAACACTTCAGGGGATTTAGAGAAAACACTGCATAGGTACATATATTAAGTGCAGTGAAATGTATGATTGTTCATATGGGGTAAGTAAATACTTTACCAGTAAATAGCCTCATTTAGTTCAGGTCAGATACTATGGCCAAATAAGTTTAGGAGATCAATTTGACTGAAAAATAAATTACTAAAAAACAAAAATTTGACTTTTAGACCTTTTTGGATATCAGAATTATAGATCCTTATGAGGGGTTGACTTTTGTCAAAGGCTAATAATCATTAGGTTTTATGTCTTAAGTATGTTAATTTCCTAGGTATAAAAATGGGTGACAAAGTAACTCTTTTAAATGTTTGTGCTTACTGTGAAAGATGGACTTTCTTCTTTTCTTTCTTTCTTCCTTTCTTTCTTTCTTCCTTCCTCTTCTTCTTCTTCTTCTTCTTCTTCTTCTTCTTCTTCTTCTTCTTCTTCTTTTTTAAAGAGTGGATTTTTGCTATAGGGGGTGTGCACTTGTCGGAGAGACAGAGTGAGACAGAGAGACAGAAAGTGAGAAATCACCCCCCAGCAAGGTATGGCCACACTGCAATCTTTTTTCCTCCATTTTCCTTTCAGGATCATGGGCAGGCATGCAAGTACACATGCCCAGTGAGATTTTTTTAGGGGGGAGGGGGGAGATATTTTTGCTATAGGGCGCTTGTGCTCACCAGAGAGACAGAAAGCAAGAAATCACCCCCCAGGGGAATTGGCCATGCTGCAATCCCTTCTCCTCCATTCTGCTCTCAGGATTTTGGGCACACATGCACTCGTGCCTGGAGTGAGTTTCAAGCCACCAGGTCTGGGACTCCAACTGCAGTCAACTATGTGGGAGTCCAGCAACATACCAATTACACCATCTGCTGGTCCCAAGATGGGCTTTTTTCTTTATGGGTCATAGAAAAATATAAGATATAGGAACATATATTTGTGGAAAGATATACAAAGATACAACTGCCTAAATTAACTTTCTTCTTAGTTATAGAGAATTCATTTCCTATAAAAGTAAAGTTAGCTTTCTGTATATAGTAGAAGTATTAACTCTTCTGTATATTAAACAAAAACTATATATTTTTAAAGTCTATGTGTGGAGACCAGCCATTTAATTCAGTGAAAATGTACTAATCTGGTATCATGAACTGTTCTAGGTGTTGAACACAACTCAAAGAGCAGACAACTTACTTCCTGGCTTCCAGAAGCTTACAATCTAGCAATGGAGAGAAACATGGAATTCTAGTTTTCTGCTCTTTTTCTTATACCATACCACCTCTCTTGGACCTTTTAAGGTACCTTAAACATTATACTTAGAAAAAGTCAAAATGGGATAGGAATGATAAGCTAATAACATTTTTAGAGCTATTTAAACTGTCTATTTAAATGGTTTTTATTAATTGTATGAAAAAGTAGATTGCTAGAAACATTAAAACAAATAGGCAAACCAGCCATCATCATTTTTAAAGATGTCAAAAATTGGAACCCTTTAATCAAACCTAATTTCATGCGAAAGTCCATGTATCATAAAAAGTAAAAAGTGTTCTATTTGAAGTAGAGGTAGTTCAAGTCCTTGCTTGCTGGGCCTTTTCTGAATCTACAGAGACTACCTTAAGGCTTCATAGGAAAAATAAAAGAAATGGAAAAGTATTGGTCCTAAGCGGAAATGGACAAATTATGGCCCACTTAACAAATCTGTCCCAATGCTGTTTTTGTAAATAAAATTTTATTGGAACACAGCTAGGCCAATTTATTTATGTATTATATTAGGTCATGACTTTCCTGACAACCCAATATATGGTCGCTTTCACTGCAGAATTTAGTAATTGGAAAAGAAACTATATGACCTGCAAAGTGTAAAATACTATCAGGCTCTTCACAGAATAATTTTGCCAGTCATTGGTCTGTTGGATACTATTTTCTAGGGTACCTCAGAACCAAAAATATCCTCGAGTTAAATGATTATTAGAACTAGTTTTACTATAGAATCATTTGATGCTGCAAAATCACACAGATAGATAAAAATAAAAATAGAAACTTTCCGGCCGGCTCATTAACAATGACTATAAAAATCATCCAGGTCTATGATCACAGTGGATTTATGGAAAATTTTTATGCTTGACTAACTTCCTTATTTGTATAGCAAAAAAACTCTGCTCTCCAAAACCTAAGGGTCATAGCTACCTTATGATACAACTTGTCTGTGGGATGGTTGCTCTCTCCTCTTGGCAAGAATAATACAAAAGCAGTATCCTTCGGGCAAATTTTCTCCTGAACCCACGGGTAATAAAGCAGGATTTCTGTGTTCCAAGTACAGTCACACTCTGTATAATGACATTTTGGTCATTTACAGACCACATAAAATTATAATGGATCTGAAAAAAAATCCCTATTTGTGGGTGGCGTCATAGCCATCATAGTGTAGTACAACACATTATTCATTTGTTTGTTGTGATGCCGACATAAATAAACCTACTCTGCTAGTCACATGAAAGTATAACAGTACAATTATATGCAGTACATAATACTTGATAATAAGAAATGACTGTGTTACTGGTTGATGTATTTATGATATTGTACTTTTATCCTTATTTTATCAACCTTCTACTTATATGAGAAAAAGATTTACTGTCAAATAATATGCCATGTTATACCAGCAGTAACCTCACATGTTCATGACTGCATAATTTTCTCTTCTGCTTGATTTAATCTTGTATCATTTGGTTCATCATGGTCCTTCCAGTGGGACAAGATTTGGAGGTAGAAGGATGATATTGATGATCCTGACCCTATGTAGGCCAAGGCCAATGTGCATGTTTGGGTCTTAGTTTTTTAAAAGTTAAAGTGAAAAAAATTTAAATAGAAAAAGCTTATAGAATAAGTATATATAAGGACCAGCTCCATGACCTAGTGATTTAGGGAGCCAGATCCCGCCTGGCTGACTGCTTCAAATACCAGTCCTAGTAGCTAGAAAAACGCTGTGGGCACATGTACATGCATTACCCAAAATCCCTACAGGATGGAGGGATGGAGAAGAGATTGTGGCATGATCATACCCCATTTAGTGCTGCTTTCTCTCTCTTCCTCTCTCTCCATCTCTCCTTTGTTCCTTCTGGTAAGTTCATGCATCCTTTGGCAATTAAAAAAAAGTATATAAAGAAAAAAATGTTTTTGTACAGCTTTACAATGTGTTTGTGTTTTAAGCTCAGTGTTATTACAAAAGAATAAAAAAGTTTACAAAATTAAAAAGTTTATAAAGTAAAAAGTTACAGTAAGGCTAATTTATTATTAAAGGAAGAAAAGCATTTTTATAAATTTAGTGTAGCCTGAGTATGCAGTGTTTATAAAGTATACAGTAATGTCCTAGACTGTCACGTTCACTCAACTATACCATATAGCCTATCCGTG